TATGAATTCCAACCAAGGTGTTAATGGAATACGCTTTTATCTTTTCAAATCTAAGCGATATCTTCGCTAATTAACTGTAAGATCCATAGAGATGACTATCGATAACTCGAATGTTTTGTGCAAATCGTAAAAATCACACGGAGAAATTCGACCGGAATAAGGAGACGCGCCTGTGAAACCGCGAAACGACATTTATGGCAATGCGATTGTCGGTCGTAAGTGGCGTTCATTTGAATATCGCACGGTGTGTGGTCCTTCGCACGCGCCCACCGTACTACGTGCTCGCGCCCATTTGCGTGCGTGCGTGCGTGTAACTTTACTGAGAGAGATCACATGAACGGTCTATGTCGGTGCCGGTTGCGTAATCACACGTTATCTAAAAGCTCGATCGTCGCCCGGAAGAACAGCGCGCTGCTATTTAAATCTAATGAATATCAAGTTACAATTTCGTCGTTTGACAAGACGATGATAAATAAATACATCGTGGAGCACTGATTTCCAGACACGCAGACATGCGTTGATTATCCACGTAGCATGTTTGGTTTTCAAAGTCCGTTAAGTGAATAATTTTTTAGTTCAACAGATTTCGATTGACTAACGTAGAGAGAGAGAGAGAGAGAGAGAGAGAGAGAGAGAGAGAGAGAGAGAGAGAGAGAGACAAAATATAAGAGAAAAATATAAAAGATAATTATGTTTTTTTAATTGTTAGAATTAAAAAAATGAAGAATAAGTTGAACCAAGATTAAAGTTAATCTATATTGATTTATATTGAAAAAGGAATAAGCTGGATATTCGTCTGGTAAACAATGTTAAATGGCATTGTAGCTTGAGCAATTCATAAGTCACTCGCGTCGACATGAGTAAAGTCTTAACTTGTGCATATATTTTCATAAAATTCTTGAAATTCTTTTACCCAAGACTTTGTTTTTATTTAATTTTTTTTATTCTTCTGTATAATTATATAATACATTAGGAAATTTGCCTTATTTCGTTTTAATGCGCTTCAATAATATGCAATCAAAATGCACAATTATAATCAAGTTTCCTTTTATAAAGAAATAATGCATACAAATTATTCTGTGTCGTGAAGGATAATGAGAAGAGCAGTTCGATAGTTCTTGATCGATTGACGTTATAATGTAAGGCTATAATTTTGACGTAATTTTTAAATTTAAAACCTTTTCGGCACAAATTTTCAAAATTGTGAAATATGTATTTATTCAGTAAAATTCACGATTATGTGTACTTGCTCTCCAAATAATAATAATAATAATAATAATAGAGAAGAATATTATACTGCACTTTCCGAGTTTGAGACGTACGTAATTTATACACAATTTATTAACCTATATATAATTCAATTGCAATGTTGTATAGTAAAATATAACTCTACTATGTTTCAACACATTTTTATCAATATATAATGATTTTTAAATCAATAAACGTATTGTTAGATGAGAGATATCATCATTAATTATTTATATGAAAAAAATATTTATAATATATTTATAATATATTTCGTTGCGATAAAATCATAATACAGCAATTATAAAACAACATTTCCTTTTTAATGTTGACTGTTATAAACAGCGTTTTAACTCAGAATAAAAAATCATATTAATTTAATTAAAAAATTACTAAAAATTATATGAACTAAATTAAGTCCAGAAGATCGATATACGTCGACACAGTATGAAGAAGAGTTTATCCCAGCATATTACTCAACTCCAATCTCGCCTCAAATCCCGGCTCCAATCTCGACTCCAAGAAGAATACAAAGTTATCAACGTATGCCTCGAACTCGTGTAAGAGGTGTCTCACGTAGAGATCTCACAAGTGGAGTAGCTATTGTACCACGACGAATTGATTGTAAATAGAAAATTCATGTATAATCATAATAGTAATCCATTTGTGTCACATAGATATGTAACTATCTATAAGATATAATACACAAAAGGTATTTTTGTTTTCTTAATTACAAAATTGCTCGTAAATAAAAACTTTTTAATTCTCGTTGAAACTAATTAATATAAGACTATTTATTATATACTAATAATATAAAACAATAATCTAATAGCTCTCTCTCTCTCTCTCTCTCTCTCTCTCTCTCTCTCTCAATTAATTAATTGTACTATTAATTATACTATTATATAATTTTAATTGTGTTTTTCAGTTGATGCATCAGATGTCGAAGAAATTAAAAATGAAGGTATAATAGACGATAAATTGTAACGAGCATTACATTTAAATATTTAATAATAAAAAATAAATTAAATGAATCATTATACTTTTCTAGAAATAGTGAGAGAAAGATTACAACAATTACAAAGTCCGGCACGTCTGCCTCTCACTTCCGAAACTGGTGCTCCTGGAACGTATAGATTGAGACGCACAAGGGCGACACAATATCCATTACAGAGAAGGCAATATGTGCCTAGAATGGTTCAGATTACACCTTGCGGGAAATGTCTGAGAGTAAATAATTTAAGACATCATCCTCCTTATGATAAACAGATTTGTGCCTAAATTATAATACATTTATTTAATGAGAAACTAACGCGAATCTTCAAATTTAAATTAAAATCTAATATCCCGAGAATATTTCTGACCAAATTTCTTAAAGCAAAGTATGTGGTCATCGCGATCAAAGCTGACCTAGAGCTAGCCTCTCTACTATTCCAAGCGTAGTTTTGGCTGCCCTTTCTTCCGCCCATAAATTCGTTTTCTCTGATTTTTATCCATGTTTGCGTTTTCCGTTTGTTTTTTTTCCTTGCCCTACATTTAGATGAGAAAATAAAACATTTTAAATTTACCGTGATGAATAAATGAAATCTATCTACATAAATTATTAAAATATTATTGACGTAAAATTATATATTAATTCTATTCTTTGGCAGATATAAAAACGTATCGAAGTAACCATGAAAAGCAACCAACCAATTTACACAAGTATGCACATTCATGCTTCTTTGCATTTTTATACTATAGATAAGAATATCTTTGATTTATTTATAAATGTTACCAGTGAGCAAATTTCAAATGATGCAACATATGCGTGATATAAAAAAATAGAAAAAATCCTCAGCAAATTAGTCGTCGCAACACAGTTTTAATTATAACAAGAATTCATATTCCGTTTTGCTTCGAAATTCACGACCGCGGATTATATATATTTTCACGCAAGTACACATGGACCAGCGAAGTTGGCCCATCGGCTGGACATAAAATCGTTCATGTTTGAGAATGTTTAATGCATGGACTGCGCGGTCGTAGGTAGGTGAACAGTTAACCGATGTTTGTATGTCTGTACTCCCAGCACAGATCCCGGAACACCGAAGATATCGTAGAAGTACTGGGCAAACACTCCGGCTGACTGTTTCTCAATCAGAGTCGGGTACACGGAAGGCACACGGTTATAGCAGCACTCGGTGGACGCCTGTTTTCACGGTCATTCCATTTCCAAAGTGCGTAATTTGTCATTATATAAAATACGTAGCTTTGAATAATATACACTCAATTTTAAAGATGCGACTATATCATTCCTGAATAAACAATTCATTCAGCTAATAATTACATGAATTTATTCAATAAAATTTGCACTAATCAAATAGAGAATCATCTTGATGACAACTTACTACAATTGAAAATCTATTAATATGTAACGTAATATTAATATTTAAAATATAAAAAAAAAACCGGAAATTTCAAAATAAATAAGAATACATTTTTGTACAAATCAATTTTTTAAAATAAATTTTTTAAAACCTTACCACCATAGAATTAATTATTATAGATAATAAGATTTCGTCATTTTTAAACTCTCAAAGACCGATAGACGCTCATAAATGTTGAATACTGAATTACAGAACAAATTCAGAGAGACTAGGTTTTCATTGAGAAGAAGATTAATATTGACCCAGGGTTATATTCTTATACATGCATTATCGTTTCTGACCAAGGATGCCTGACCAATTCTTGGAAGAACGCGTTGTCTCGGTATTTCGCGCGGAATCGCCTTTGAGCATCGTTGGCTGATATCGCACGGAGAACGGGCGACGAGACGACGGCGCGTGCACGGATGAAACGGGCACGCGAAGACGCGGAGGACGCGAGTGGTGGCGAATTTACGTAATGAAGCGATCGCCCGGGTGGTCCCGAGCGTGAGACGCGCGTACGCACGTTCCTTCGTCGTTCCCGATGCGAGACGCTTGCCAAGATGGAGAGAACAAAGAGAGACGGGAGAGTAAGAATCTCTCTTTTTCTCCTCGAGAACGACTTGTAGCTCCGGCGTCGTTCAGCACTCGAATTAACGGCACCGGAAATACGATGCAACGTGCACGCGCTCGGACGCATTATGCGCGTGGAAGAGAAACGCGAACACGTTTACCACCCACAATTATTTGCCAAAACATGCCTCTCCTGTGATTTCCACGCACCGAGGGACCATCGGGATCCCGAGACGCCACACGTCAGAATATTTGAGATGGGTTCGCCCCGAGCGCTAAGGAAACCAATCGCTAATCTTTCAGAGAAACGTCGTCGAAGTTTACGTTCGCGCAATCATCAAAAGATTATCCCCTCCCTTCTGGCAAAATATAGATTTCTTGTTAAACTTGCAGAAAAAATTTTTGACTTTTTAATTATATTCACCTCGTTAAAGTTGTTGGGCGAAGAATACATATAAATAACTCTCTAAAATCTTTAAAAGTGGAATTTGACTCTACAGAATGAAATCTCACTTTTAAAAAATGACAATTGAGTTGCATTTTTTTTAATTCTGGCTTAAATGTCACTCTTTAAAATCAGATATAGAATAAAGTCCACTCTAAAGATTTTCGAGAGAATATTTTAATAATAATAGCTGTAATTCATCAATCAAAGAAATCTAATAATGTTAATTATTCCAATTTTATTAATTATTTAATTTTGTTAATTATGTTTCAAACTATTCTGATAGAAAATCAATCCGCGATACAAAGAAAAAACGAGCGAAATTATAATTGATCAACATACTTGACAAAACAAAAATAGGAGGCATAGAAAAGGAATCTAAACTTACGATAGTAATAAGACGCACATTTATATTATAATCAAATACGTATGTACATATGTGGAGAGGAATTGATGAACGTAGCTAGATGATTCGACCGTGCACAGTAATTAGTATAAAAAGTTCAAGCCATTACTGCAGTCCTAAAATCAAGCTCACATTGCGAACGTTTGTGTTTCAATTAACATCATGTTTCACGCGAAATTGCTTAATCCGCTGTATATGAGACTAATGAACTTCTGTTAACGTGATTATCGTTGGTAACTGAAAACGTTTATGCAATAAACGCTACTGAATACATGTCTTGCATGTTGCGGGAAACTAATTGTCTGCTATATTCTCGAAAATAGTGACTTTATTACTCTATTTGCGTGTCTATTAATTAACGAATCTCATTATTTAATTTCAAATTAAAAATTTATCTATTATTACTTATACATATGTATATATAATATTTGAAAATGTACAAGTAATAACATAAAATTTACTTATAACGAAAGATACAATTTACATGTACCTATTTATTTTACATTTTTTAAATAACTTTTCAATTAAAGAGAATCAAGTATCGAATAAACGCGGATACTTGTTGCCATGAACCTTACTGTTAACCAGCCATTCAAAGAGCGCAATTAGCTGCGTGATATTTAAGACTCCGTCGCGAATGAGAGTAATCTCGTCCGTTCTTTCTTCGCGATTTCTCCTTTAATCACCGATCGTCAATCCTGAATAGGCATTACGGCGCTGCGAAATAAGGAAACGTCGTTTACCTTCCAAATACCATTTTCGAGCGTAGGCGCTCGTTGTAAGGCTATTTTTGGCACATTCGCGGCGCTTCGTAGATGCATTTGCGAAGATATCCTTGAAGCAAAGGATCAACATTTTCCATCTTCCAGACGCGTGACGATCGCGAAGAGACGCACGAAAGAGAAGAAATCCTGGCCGACGTAAGATAACGTTACTGTCTGATAAATTCGGTTGATACGAACATTACAATGTCCGAAGAATAAGCCGAAAAAAAAAAAAAAAAAATTGAGAGAAATCGAGAGAATTTTAGTCTTGACATAAAAGGTAGCTTTTTCGCTACTTCCTTACACAATGTCTATGTTCGTTCCTATCTACCTCTGCGTTTTCGTCAAAGTTTAAGAATATCTAGAATATTAATGGGATATTAGAGTGATGTGTGGATCGAACTTATCAATAATACAGACTTTTATAATTCCGAATTATTTAACTCTTTTTTTGGACTTTAGTATAAAGTCAACTTGCCCCACCCCTCCTAATTTTAATTCACTATATACCGCCTATTTCAATTCACAGTAAAAAGACTTTAATTCCATCTGATTCACTCAATTCGGAAAATTTTTTACGGCTGTAATATATTAATAATTTCGTCACACCCAGCATCCCCTTAAGTGGCGCCTAGTGTTTTCACCTCCGGACATACTTCATATCCCCTACCTCTTTCACTATCGCACTCTTTCTCTCTTTCCCTCCTTTCATTTTGACCACGGCACAGCATCAGTAACCGATCCGATCCTATCAAGGATGCAGTTAATTACACGTCGCGCAACAGCCGAGCCACGAAAGTCATCAGGTCTCACTCAAAAGGATCAACAAAAGAGCAGGACCAGACGAGCGTCCGCGCGATAGGCTATTCGCATACCTGTCAGCTATTAACCGTTGATGCGAATCACCGTTTTATCCTCGAATTATACAAATCGGGCCGCGTTCTTTGTGCGGACCGATCGACAACCAAGGGAGGAGAGCGAGAAGCCGGGTGATTGCACGAAAGGTCGTGCTTTGACCCGCTCGTCGTGCTGGCCCGCGAGTGATCACCGTTGTTCCCACACATCAAAGAAATATCTCGTATATTTATCTCCCATTCAATCGAACGAATAAATAGTATTTAATGTGATAGCCGATGAAAAATTCGGCCCGAATTCGTTACGCGCGTGTCAGGTTTTTTGCGCGATGCACTTACAAAAATGTTTTTAGCCGCGCCTTCGCCGCGCGTGAGAAATAATTGCGTCGGATATCGCTGTGGAACGTCTTCGTATTTTTTCGCGAGCGCAAATATTTCCCAACACTTGGGGGCGGGGGGCAGACACCGATAATTAATACTTTTATTACTGTAATAATAAATAGTTTTTATACGCCGTAAGAGAGAGAAATCGCCGCTAATTACGGCGCTCGAACATTACTCTTCCTCGATCGTATAACACAATCCTTACACATTATCCGATCGTGTAGCACTTAGGAATATCCCTCGCACGCACATGATAACGAAGGACAAGAGAAGGGGAACGACAACAGAAGAGAGACAGGAAACGGAAGACGAGCAAGAGTATGGGTACGCTGCACAATGTTCGGTAAATCATTGGACGTTTATTGCAGTTAATTAGTCGACTGACCGGCCCTGTCAGACTGCTTTGCATGTACCATTCAAAGCAGAAGAGCTACACACGTGTGCATGATGGCGCCATGCAAAAGTTAATACGTGTCTCCATTCCGTACAAGTAAAGTATGAAGAACGGGACATTATCTTGAACACAGTCAGAATTTCGAGAATTTTATTCAACCCATTCCGGCTACCTACCAACCATTGGATGAGAATTTTAGTAATTGCATCTTCTCCGTTCAGACATAAGATTCTTCGTGATCGGTTAAGATAAGAAGCAGAATTGTTATAGGGCGCTATTGACATTCTACCGACCGTATGAATGTCTTTCGTGAATTTTTTTTTCTTATTCTTTTAAAAAATAATTTTATTCTTTACAAAGATATTTTTATAAGGCCGAAGATAACGTCATTCTTGACCTCATTTCAAATAACTTTTTTTAGAGCAAAAAATTCGAAATCCAAGATTTAATTTTATTAAGTTTCATTATCGTTAAAATATTTTATTAAAAATAATAAAATGCATTTTTAAATATAATATTAAGCATCAGAAGAATGAAATATTACACGTTTTATTTTGTTATGTTTAACGTCATATTTTATTACTTTGTTTAATATTTTAATTAACTTTAATTTTATTTAATATTATGTTTTACTTTATTATCGCGGACGATGTATATTTTTAACTAAAGCATAACGAAGATTGGAAATAATTTCTGCATAGTTTAAGGAACTGCATCTGCACAACACTATTACGCGTGAAAGTTATATCATCGCTCAATGGAAAAATAACTAGAGCAGAAATCGTTATATAAGGTCATAACTAATAAACTCATTACTTGTTTCAATATAAACCAAGGTATTCTGAATAGTGTAACATGATTCGCTATATAGCTGACGCTTTACAAACTAAATTAGTGGACGAAAACATCTAGAGAAAGAGGGGAAAAAAAGAGAAAAGAAAAAGAAAGAGCGATAAATTTCCGACGCGATATTCGCCCCGTGGTTTCTCGACGGCATGGAATGCTGAGAACCAGAAAAACGGTACACGCTGAACTCGACTTCCTTGTTAAGGTAATATGATTTGTGGACGAATGATTAATCAGCCAGTCACCTGCGCTATGCGAATCGCGCGCTGATCAATCGCCAATTGCCGAAGAGATAATAAATGTGAAATACAATTGACATTAAGCGAGAGGCATTAACGCAAGTTGTACTAGAAAAGATTCACGCGTACCTCATATTAAATCGAAACAGATTGTTCGTGATGCCCGCTATTATTCAATGAGGAGCCATTTCATGTCAGACTAACGTTTCTTTAAAATATAAATAAATAATTTCCCTAAACTTTAATCGGTTCAAAGTATATTGTAATGCACGAAATTTTAAAATTACTTAGGTATGTTTGTAATTTTGTAAATTTGTAATTTTCAGAAAAATATTTTAAACAAATTGATATTTTTGGTATTGTAAATAAGATCAGATCTCGCATACTTACTTCTTAATTATATCCATAGTCGGTATTTTTCTTCCTGGTATAGCAATCTTCTCGTATTTAACGCCAGCATTTGTAAATTCCTACAACAGAACCGTTAACAAAAACATAAACAATTGCATGCATATTGTTGCGTAATAAAAGCAGAATATTCTCCGTCGCATGAAACGCAGATGCATTAATAGAACACGTACTAAATTGAACACGCGTGTAATTTGATCGAAGCTATTGTCCTATTAAACCGTTCCGGCGCACTCATTAGCATCGCTAATTATCACGCATAAAACCGTCAAATTACAAACAATACGGATAATCATAGTTTCTGAGTACAAGCGTGTCATTCAAGCATGATGTAAACTGAACGTTCGGAAACCGAAACAATCGATCGTTAAATACGAAATTTGCAAGAGCGGAAAGAAAAATACGACTCTGTAGAGTCTAATCGACACGAGTAAAAGAGAGATTCACAATCATTTGTATTTCAGAAAGTATTCTTTAGTATACACGCGTGTTTGCCTAGAACAACAAGTGTTGCACGTTCATGAATCTCTCTATTATCTCTATTATCCCTCAATTATCTCTTACAGTTGATTTCAAATCTCAAAAGCACTAACAAATTGAAATAAAAAATAAATTATTAATATAAAAATAAATCATTGCGAAACAATATAAATAATATTTATGTAAATTTAACAAAAATCAATTGTCAGTAAA